GGTGGCACTGGATGTTATTTCTGCATTTGGGATGCAAATGAGCCTACTTTTCCTGTGTGACCTGTGGTAGGAAAAGGAATAGGATGAATCTTTCATAATGTCCCTTCAACATTGTCTTTTTGTTGTTTTTTCTTACTTGCCTTTGTTTATTTTTACTGCTTCATGGTCTTTGTCCAGATGTCTGTCTCACCTTTGCTCAATGAAGAATCCCTTTCAGCCACAAAGACTGATCTTAAAAAGTGTCTCACTTTCACTTTGCAAATCAACATCCATTTTTCTTTTAAGATAATTTGAGAATTCAAAGTCATGACAGGACCAGGAGACTACAAATCAGATTAGTGCATTTGCATTGCTAGGTCATCAGACAAAACAGGAGAATGCTACAGGAATGTAAACTAGAAACACTAGCTTCTCTGGAACTGTGGACTGTAGTCTGGTTATCTTTTGCTTTACATCTAGTATCCACTTATGAATAAGTACATACCATGTTTGTCCTTCTGAGTCTGTGTTACCTCACTTGGGATGGTATTTGCTAGTTCCATCCATTTACCTGCAAATTTCATGATGTTATTGTTTTTGACTGCTGAATATACTCCATTGTCTTTATGTACCACATTTTCTTTATCCATTCTTCAGCTGAAGGGCATCTAGGTTGTTTCCAGGTTCTGGTTATTATGAATAATGTTGCTATGAACATAGTTGAACATGTGTCCTTGTGGTATGATTGAGCATTCTTTGGGTATATGCTCAAGAGTGGTGGGTTGCATGGATCACCTTGGGAAGGGGAAATACATGAGATTTCCATGAGTAAACTGGGGATGGGGGGTGGGCAATAAAGGGAAGGGGATGGTGGATGAGAACATAAGGGAATGAGATGGTCAAGCTGGAATAGGGATAGAGTGAGAGAGCAATGAAAGAGATACCATGACAGAGGAGACATCATGGGGATAGGGAAGAACCAGGTGCTAGGGAAGTTCCCAAGAATCCACAAGGATGACCCCTGCTTAGACTACTAGCAATAGTGGAGAGGGTACCTGAACTAGCCTACCCCAGTAATCAGATTGGTGAATACCCTAACTATCATCATATAGACTTTCTCCAGTAACTAATGGAAGCAGATGCGGAGATCCACAGCCAAGCACCAGACCAAGTTCCAGGAGTCCAGTCGAAGAGAAAGAAGAGGGATTCTATGAACAAGGGGCAACAAGATCATGATGGGGAAACCTATTAGACAACCAAACCAAATTGGTGGGAACTCATGACATTTAGACCAACACCTGTGGAGCCTCCACAGGACTGGAGTAGGCCCTCAGAATAATCAAGAGAGTTGTGTAGCTTGATCTGCTTAAGGGGTCCCCTGGCAGTAGGAACAGGATCTATCCCTGGTACATGAAGTGGCTTTTTGGAGCCCACTACCTATGGTGGGACACCTCACACAGCCTTGAGGCAGGGAGAGGGGCTTGGACCTGCCTCTACTGAATCTACCAGGCTTTTCTGACTTTCCTTGGGAGGCCTTACCTTTTTGGAGGATGGAATGGGGAGCAGTTTAGGGGGGGAAAGCTAGAGAGGTGGGGGGAGGGAAGAGGAGGATCTGTGATTGGTATGTAAAATGAATAAAAAATTTCTTAATTAAAAAAATAGGAACACTATTGTCACTTCAATGCTACACTGTAGGGTACCCCAAAGTCTGAGCAGAGGTTCCTCCATGTTTGGAGGAATTTTGGTCTTCTTCCTGCTCTGGTTGAAGAAGGAACTCAGACTCAGTACACCAAGGCTACTTTAGCAGGCCTGTTTGCCCTTTATGATCTAGGTGCTAGAAAGGAAAATTAGGTTCAAGGTGTTTGCTTAATTGGGGATACATCATTCCCATCTTGTTTACTCACATGGAAGAGAAGGGTACTGTTAGGTCAAAACAAGTTGATGGAAGTAAATAAGTAGACTGAGCATGGCTCATAGAGTCTGGTCTTAATTCATCATACAAACCTCACTTTGTTCCTCATCCTATGAAGTGGCTTTAGAATTAGCCTCAGAGCTACACAGTCTCATACCACGGAAAGTAAGGGTGGGACAGATATTCAGCACCAGAAAACTGAGGTGATTCTTCTCAGAGGGAAGTCTCTCTTCTCAGTCTCACAAAAAGTCAACTACTCAAGGTTCATTAGCATATACAGACTTGTGTCTCACTACTGAATACTCCTGCCTGCAGTCCCTCATCCTGGAAGTCTAACAAGATCATGACCTCTAGGTCCTACCTGTTCAGGCTTAGGGTGACCGTTTTGGGAGAAAGCCTGATCCAGAGGCTGAAGCTGGGCCTTGCAACCTCCATCTCTCAATGTCCATTCTGCTCTGGAAATTCTCTAAAGTCTTGAAAGTAAATCAAGTTTCTTTCATGATTTTTTTTGTTTAGTGTTGTGCACACTAAGCAGTACTAGTCAAATGAATAAAGCAGTGCTCCTGAAACTGTTGCATAGCACCTTTGTGTTGAGAGGTCTAACAAACAGGTCTAAAAATTGAAGGGTTTATTCAAGTCTTTGAAGAAAGGAATTGAAGATGACAGCAGAAGATGAAAAGACCTTCCATGCTAGTAGACCAGTACAATTAAGAGAATAAAATGACCACCCTACCAAAAGCAATCAATAGACTCAATGCATTCTCCATCAAAATTCCAACACAATTGTTCACAAACCTTGAAAGGACAATTCTCAACTTCATATGAAAAACAAAACAAAACAAAAAGCCTAGAATAGTTAAAACAATCCTGAATAATAAAAGAAATGCTGGAGGTATCACCATTCCTAATTTCAAGTTGTGCTAGAGAGTGATTAAAAACAGTATAGTACTGGCATAAAAACAGACATATTAGTCAATGGAAACTGAAGCTCAAACCCACACACCTATAAACATCTGTTTTTTATTTTATTTATTTTTATTTTTATAAAGAAGCCAGAAATATATGCTCAACGAAAGACAACATCTTCAACAAATGGTGAGGGTCAAACTGGATGTCTACATGCAGAAGAATGCAAGTAGATACACACTTATCACCCTACACAAAGCTCAACTCCAAATGGATCAAAGACCTAACATAAAACCAGATACACTGAACCTAATTAGAAGAGAAAGTGGGAAATATCCTTAACCACAGAAGACAACTTCCTGAAGAGAACACCTATTACACAGGCACTAAGATCAACAATTAATAAATGGGACCTTATGAAACTGAGAATTTTCTGTAAGGCAAAGGACACCACCAATTGTACAAAAGCAGCAGCTACAGAAAGGGAAAAGATTTTTTTACCAACTCCACATCCCACAGAGGACTAATACCTACAGTATATAAAGAACTCAAGAAACTAGATATAAAAACACAAATAATACAGTTAAAAATAGGGAACTGATATAAACAGAGAATTCTCAATAGAGGAATCTCAGATGGTTGAGAAACACTTAAAGAAATGTTCAACATCCTTAGCCATCAGGGAAATGTAAATCAAGACTACTTTGAGATTCCATCTTACATGTGTCAGAATGGTTAAGATGAGTAGCTTAAATGACAGCGTATGCTGGCAATGATATGGAGTAAGGGGGGCACTCATCTATTGCTGGTGGAAGTGCAAACTTGTACAGTTACTATGGAAATCAGTGTGATGGTTCCTCAGGAAGATGGGGATCCACCTTTCTCAAAATCCAGCTATACCACCCTTGGGTATAGACACAAAGGACTCTATCCTACCACAAGGACACTTACTTGCTCAACCATGTTCATTGCTGCATTATTTATAATTGCCAGAAACTGGAAATAACCTAGATGTCCCTCAACAGAAAAATGGGCAAAGAATATGTGGTACGCTTACACAACGGAGTATTACTCAATTGTTAAAAACAATAACATGAAATCCAAAGGCAAATGGATGGAACTAGAAAAAGAAATCATCCTGAGTGAGGTAACCTAGACACAGAAGGACGAATATGGTATGTTTTTACTTATATGTGTACATTAGTCATTAAATAAATGATAACTAACCTGCAATCCATAGACCCAGACATGTTAGGTATAGTGGAAAGAACTAGGTGGGGGGGGGTGGACACATGGATGTCTCTGAGAGGAGGAAATAAAATAGACTTTATAGGGAATGGGAGAGAAGGGGTGATTGGGTCAAGAGAGGGAATTCTTGGAAAGAGAGCTGGAATTGAGAGGCATTTGAGTGATGATATGGAAACCTAGTGTAGTGGAAACTTCCTAAAATATAAGAAGGTGATTCTATTAGGTCTCCTAATCATAGTGGATACAAAGTCCCAACTGGCATCTCTTGTCAGCAAATGAAGCTTCCAATACCAGGACTGAGTTGAATTGAATTGAGTTGTTGGTCAATGGGAGTCCTGTGGAAATCCCCAAACAACCCAGGCTGTTGCAAAGACAATAGATTGCTCTCTGCAAACTGGCAGCAAGGCCACATCACCAAGGACAATACTCACATAACTCATTGAACATGGAGCAGTCAACCTGGTGCCTACATGGAGCCTTCACCCCTATGTTCTAGAGTCTTTCATGCAAGAAGACACTCTGCAGGTTACCAAAAGAGAAACATGGACACCAGCCCAGCCACAAAACCTTTGACTTACAATCTGTCCTGCCTGCCAGATATTCGAGGACAATGGTGGCACAGAACTTGAGGGAGTGCCCAATCAATTTCTGATTTGACTTAATGCCCATTCCATGAGATGGAACCCATATCCCACAATGCTTGCATGATGAAGAACCAGAGACTAGATACCTCAAGAGACCCTATGGTAAAATGAAACTCTACTGGTCTTATAAATAATAATGATCAGTAAAATGACTCCTAATGATATTATGCCTTATTCAACCATTATCAGAGAAGCTTCCTCTTGCAGCAGACAGAAACAGATGCAGAGACCAACAGCCAGACATTATGCAGAGAGAGTCCTTGGCACACAGAGCTCTAAATGAGATGTCTCCACCAAATCTCTCCCCTCAGGGAACCCCAACAGAAGAGGAGGAAGAAAAAGTGAAAGAGCCAGAATGGATGGAGGCCATCAGGAGAACAAGGCCCTCTGAACCAACTAAATAAGGTACAATTAACTCACAGAGACTGAAGCAGCAAGCAAAGGGCCCATATGGGTCTTCATCAGTTCCTCTGCATGTGTATTAGAGCTTTCAGCTTAGTATTTTTATAGGAATCCTGAGTATGTGAATTATCTTTATGGGACTCCTAAGTGTGTGAATGAGTTCCTGCTCTTGGGGCTCTTTTCTTTCTCTTGGGTTGTCTTGTCCAGTCTCAATGTGATGGTTTTTGTTTATCTCATTTTGTATTATTTTGTTATGTTTGGTTGTTATCTCTTAGAATTCTGTTGTTTTCTAATGAGAGACGGAAAGGAAGTAGATCTTGAGAGGAGGGGAAGTGGGGAGGAACTGGGAAGAATAGATGGAAGGGAAACTGTAATCAGGATATGTTGTATGAGAAAAGAATCTATTTTCAATAAAAGGAAAAAATGAAAGAAAAAGATTTAGGGGTTTCTTAGGGTTTCTATTGCTATGAAGAGACACCATGACCATGGCAACTCTTATAAAGGAAAACATTTAATTGGGGCTGGCTTACATTTTCAGAGGTTTAGTCCATTATCATCATGGTGAGAAACATAATAGTGTACAGGCAGACACAGTGCTGGAGAAGGAACTGTGAGTTCTTCATCTGGATCCGCAGGCAGCAGAAGGAGACTGTGAGCCACATTGGGTGTAGTTTGACCATGAGACCTAAAAGGCTACCTCCACAGTGATGCACTTCCTCCACCAAGACCACACCTCCTAATAGTGCTATTCTCTATGTGCTAAACATTCAAATACAAGGGTCTGTGGGGACTCTTCCTTTTTAAACAACTATGAGGGGTTTGTTTTTGCTTTGTGTAATTGAACCCAGGGCTTTGCATGCACATGCTACACTAGCACTCTACCACTAACCCGTACCCTAACTCCCCCATAAACACTGCTCACATTTTCAAGGTCCTCCCTCTCTACATCCTTACCCAACTGGAAGAGAGTTTTTCTGATATGATGTCTTCCATGATACCATGTATTATTATCCATACATAGGACTGTTCCCAGCTAATGCAGAGACTAGTCTCTAGGTCAGGAATTCTGACTGACATTGCACATCATCTCCTGCTAATGCTAACCAGAAGATGCCCATTAAGAAATAGAAAGACATAAACCATATACAAAACCAATCACTCCAGGAGCCAATCCTGAAGAAACTGATGCAAGAGAAAGAAAATTTTTGCAGCTTAACAATAATGTATTCCAAACCATAATTTCTAAATACTTTCTTTAAATCAACAATAAGAGAGCAAATATTGTTTTGAAAATAAGGGGAGCAGTCAATTTACCAAAAAATTCCAGATAGCAAGCAATGTGAAAAAAATATGTGATAGATTAGGGGGAGAAAAGTAAGTGAAACTGCCCACAGCATTTTAAATATATAAGTGAAATCTTAAAAAAAATATTCTACAACACTTGCCCCTCCATACACAAAAAGAGTGAAAAGGAAAGATTTATGTACAATGGGGAGCATGAAGGGTTAAGAACAAGTCATAAAACATCATTTATGTTTAAGCATATTATTATTTAGTTACCCAGGGCTTTCATAACAGAATGTTCCTGGCTCAATACATTATTATTCCCTTTTACACTTCCAGACTTGGCAAATTTACTTTGATGTTCCTGCAGGTGTGATTTTCCTGAACTCTTTCTGCCTTGAAGTTGACTCTCACAAGGTCTTCCATTTGTGTTAGACCATATCCTAAGATGTCCTTATGTTATATAGGATGTTGACACACCCTAAGAACATCATTTATCAGAATTATTTGTTGATATATGTGCCATTCTGAGCTTTAGGTTTGAACTTCATTATATGAAAGTTTTAAAAATACATTCCAGTTCAGAATAGTGATTGATAATGGCTATAGATAAATAATCAAATAAATAATAAATTAGTGTATGTTTCATGAACAAATCAAATAGGTAGAACTTATTTTTAGCAATCTCTAGGGTTTGTATGGGCTAAATAGGGAACATATATTTCTTTATACAATCTTGAAAGTTCTGGAATTATAATTTGTTCCTTTTAGAGTTAGTCAGGATTTTTCAAATCATAACAAAGATAATAGAAGTATTACATGCAGAAAATATTTAATCATCACAGCGGAAAATGACCGCATGTTCCTCTCCTCGCACACACAAGGAAACTGCATTTTCTAGTTGGCCTCACAGTCAGATGCTTGAATTTGGGCTGAGGGGACCGGGGTCACAGTCAGTTGCTTGAATTTGGGCTGAGGGGACCGGGGTCAAAGAAAATAAGCTACTTCAATGTTTAGCCTTAAAATAACTTCCATTGCATTTTTAATTCCACGTCTCTCTCTTTTCTTGGCAGTTGATCAAGTTCAAGGGATATAGCCACTCCCAAGATGATAGAAAAACATGGAGTCAGAAGTTGCCTTTGTAGAATCACTGTGTGGAGCAGGGCTGGCCACAGTTAACCTAGCCTGCATCCAGCTTCCTTTGTGCTAAGCCACTGGGCTCTAGGATTATTCCGACTGGAATAAATTTCTATGACAAATATATCACCATCCCCATGCCTAGCTCCAATCTAAAGGATTTTGTTCATTAAAATAAAATTAAAAAAAATGTGTGCACCCTTTGAAGTAGATGTTATTATTCTGGGAAACAAATTTAACAACTGGTTTTGAGTACACAGATGAGCTTGTAAGCACAGGATTGCAGTAGGAAGAAAAGTCAAGTCTATTTTCATATAAAAGAAAGAATTTAAATAAATTATGGCACATTGGTTTATTAAGCCCATGGAGCTATAAAAAGCAGGAAAAGCTCTGTGGAGTGACCTGGAAGAATGCTAGTTATATACAGTAATTTGTTCAGGAAACCTGCAGGCAGGCAAACATTTATAGCACAATTAATATTTTTTTACTAAGGTCACATGCACAAATCCTAATGAATTTAAGAAAAAATTAAGAAGAAAAAAATACACCTTTGTTCAAAATAATCACATTAAGCAAGTAGATTTTTAAAGTAGCCTAAATTCTACTTCACTTTCTTACACAAATCCCTTGCTACACAGCTTTGGTTTCTTACCTCAGGAAGTAGAATCCATTTCTCTTCTGTCCGGAATAGAAGAGAAGCTAACAAAACAACAAAAAAATGGCAGGAAACATTTATGCATGAGTTCCAAGCCAAAGACTTAACTGACTTAGGACACAGCCTCCTCTCTTTCTGAGCTATGTCAGTTACAGTGGGGGCAAGTTTAGGATGGCAAGGTGGGGAGACAAAGTCAGAATATTGACAACAGGTACTCAAGCCACCAAGTCAACCCTACCTGAAACTAGAGAGGCTGCCAGCCTCCTGCAGCCTCTTCCCTCTGCTCCTCTCCTGTCCTGGCTCCCCATGCCTTCCCTCCCTCTCTTATCCTCTCCTCTTTTCTCTCCTCTCCTCCCTTCTCCCTTCTCCTCTTCTCCCATTCCCCTTCTCCTCTTCTATCCTCCCTCCCTCTCTTCTCCCACTCTCTCTTCTTTTCTCCCCCCCTCCTCTTCCTTCTTCCCTCCCATCCTCTTTCCTCCCTTCATTCTCTACTCCTCTCTTCTCTACTCCCTTCCCCTCCTTTCTCCTCTCCCCATTCTTCTTCCTTTCTCTGCCTTTCTTCTGCCCTCAGCATTAGATGATGATTCCTAGATCATTTCCTGTGTCTTCCTCCTCCTCCTCCTTCTCATACCCTCTTCAGCAGTTAGGCTCAGGCCTTCACCTGCATGAGGCAAGCTCTCTCCCACTGAGCACATGCTCAGCCCTTCTCTCTCTCTTTCAGTAAATACAAGATTTTTCTTAAAAGTCTTCATAAATGGTATGGAGTACTTCAATAACCCATCACGTTGCCCTGTGGTGTTTGAGATTAGGAAAGATATTTCTTATCTACCATGAGTTAAGAAGGTGACTGATCCCTTCATAAAGTCAGTGTACTGGCAAAAGTAATGTAAAAATTACCATGATTAAAAAAAAATGATTCTCTAGATAAAAGGGTTTTAGTAGTTTGCTCCCCCCCCCCCCCCCGCACTAAATTTCTCATGTTTTTATGTTTTAAGTTCAAGAGTATGTATGTATAAATCATAAGTATTTTGAAATAGAAGCATGTGTGTATGTGTAGTACATATTAAATATGGTACTAATATGTACTAATTAATATGTATTAATAATATAAAAATTATATTTTATATATGTATATATTTCCTTTTGTCCTTTGGTGCTGCTTTCAGAGAAAAATGAGTTATGTGTATATGTTTTTATTCTTGCCTGTAGCATGTGTGCTCAACTGACCCTCTCTTCCTGGCTTTTTTTTCCATTTCCAAGAATTGGAAAAGCATACAACTCATTTGGAGTAGTGGACAATTTCAATGGGATAGCCACATTTCCACATGAGTGGCCCTCTCACAAGAAGTATTATGAAGAGTTATGGCAGTGATGGGAAGATGAATGAATGGCTGTCCCGTGGGTGCAGCACATGGAAAGATGTTTTTTAGAAGGAAAGGCTGAATTCTTATGAATGCAGTAACTGGTGCCAAGGGAAGCGGGTAGGCTCACTAGTTGTATTCAGTTGTGATCAGTCATTACACAGTCGCCCAGCATTTCTTCAAACAATGATTAGCAGATCCTTTTCTAAAGACAATGCAAGCGATGTGTAGAGCACCTTCTTGTTACAGAAAATAACAAGAGTTGAATGGTTCTCAAACAGCCTTGTAGTGAAGAACAATAGGAACAGTTAAAAAAAAAAATAGAAATCGTTTAAAACCAGATTTCAATTTGGTATTTTTCTTTTCAACAGAAAACATAAAACATGGCATTCCACTCAGGCTCATTGTGATCCTTCACAACGGTGAAATGGGGATCTTTCATTTGGTACAGTGTGTGTTTGCTGAGCAGAAGCCTTCATTTGCCGCTACATTTGCTCGCATCATTATATAATGGTCCCCTTGTATGCCAGTTAGTCCGCGGGTATTGAAGTATGCTGCACTCGGGAGCTAATCCTTCTCTTTAACACAGTGCTACACACAGAGAAAGAATCACAAATGTGAATGAAGTGATGAACAGAGCCCAAACCTGGATGACTAAAGCCACCAACTCCCCTTATATGGTAACAGGTCAAATATCACATACTGCGTTCATGCTCACCCTCCTGAGTAGTCAGGAGATTGGGGGCAAATCCTGGATGTACATCACTTCTCACCCACCACAGCATACAGTGGATTCTAAACTGCTACTGACTTTCTAGAGAGAAATTTGTCAAAATGTATGGAAAGTTCAAAAAATAGTTTAAACCATTTGATAATATGGCATCCAAGACAGTATGTGAAGGAAATAACCAGAGATATAAAGATATTTGTAAACTTTTTATAGTTGTGAGAAATACTAATTTTTTTGAAGTAGTTCAACAATAGAATTGTTAGCTGAATTATGCATCATTTCTATGCTTAAATGTTGTGAAGCCAATAATAATCACATATTTGAAGAACATTTAATGATAGAAATATTCAAGGTGAGTTTTGTATTCAATTGGTTTGTGTGTGTGTGTGTGTGTGTGTTGTGTGTGTGTGTGTGTGTGTATATATATATATATATATATATATATATATATATATATATATATACAAAAGAAAGAGGGGCAGACACATGCATACACACAGAGAGAGACAGAAAAAAGGAACACAAACTTTTAAAAAGAAATTTCCTAAAATTTATAAACAAAAGTGTTGTAGTGCATGATGGAGTTTCTGACAAACACAAATAATTTTGAGGGGGCAGGGCTAGAGAGGGCAAGAAGAGAGAATTACAGGGCTATCACTGAAGTGAGTCTCTCTGGGGAAGTGTCTCAGCTTGTTTAATGAGTCCTGCGTGCTGAGGATGGAAATAGGCTCTGAGTTTGGTACAATGGTAAATGTCACTTGTGAGAAAACGGAAAGAGCTCCTGGCCATCCTGCATCTCCAGCAGCATGGAGATAAAACACTCCAGGGAGATAAGGGGACCCATGCCTGTCCTGTTTGGGGGTAAAGAAGAAAAATACAGGAAGAAAAGTATTTTATGTTCTTGAAAGAATATGGCAACTTGGATTTTCTTGCCTGAGTTTGAGGCCTGAATATACATTACCTGTAAATCAGTTTCCAGTGCCCGTTGTGTGTGTGTGTGTGTGTGTGTGTGTGTGTGTGTGTGTGTGTGTGTGTGTGTGTGTGTTGCTTATGCAGGGATGCACACATGCAGAGGCCTGGTGAAGATTTAGATACCCTGCTCTATCATTCTCCACTATGTTCTTTGAGATAGGATCTCTTACTGAACCTGGAGCTAGCCCTGTGGCTAATAATTCCAGTTTCTACCTTCTACAGGTGTTGACAAGACTGTGCTTGGCTTTTTGGATGAGTGTTGGGATCTACCCTCAGGGCCTCATGCTTGCACAAGTATTCTTACCTACTAAGCCATCTTCTCAGCTTCACAATGCAATGCAAATTCTATGCATATTACTGTTTGCCTCTTTGATCTGAAAAAGGCCAAGGGATGTATGTTAAACTTTCCCATAAAATTAGTTTTCTAAGTCAAGAGTATTAACTACTTTGAAGCTGTTATTCAGTCTATAACTTATATTATGAAGAACTATTATTTCTGAAGATCTGTCCTGCCCCCACTTTTCTATGTGCACATGTAATTTATGATCTGTAGGAAAGTGATTGTATCAATATTCGCCTTTTAGGTTTACATTCACATGTGTTTATGTGTGGGCTTTCAATGACATTTGTCTAGGCATGGCTACAAGTCAGTAACTACTTTTTTGTGTGTTTTAATACAGATATTACAATGAATATGGAATCCTTTATTATTTTGCATCATGAGATTTTGAAATGGTATGCTTCCTTTTTAATTAGATATTTTTATGTTATGGCTTTCTTTGAAAGTTAGTTTTGATACTCAGTTTTAATTTAATAACTGTTTACATAAAGATGACTAAGATTTTATTCTGTGTTTAACTCCTTTCAGGATGCACTCCCAGCCTCTTGTTCCAACTTCCTCCACTTGAGATTGTCACTGTGACTATCACGTTCATTGTGCATTGAGTTTCTAGTTTTTGAGATAGTTCTGTAGAAAGTGCATATTTTAAGTATTTGCTTGTCTAAGAATTATTTTTCATGTTTCATTTGATTAAAATATTGATTATTTAAAAGTATTAGTTCTCAACCTGTTTGCTGTAAACTCGAAGCATTAATCTGTGTTCTCATGACATTTAGTGTTGCAGTAAGAAGTAAACAATTTTGTTCTTTATTAATGGATGTTGGAACTATAAGTAAGAAAAGCAACCAAAACCCCACATTCCTTTCTAGCCAGAAATCAGTCTTTTTTTTATTGTCTCCCTTTTATTGAAAATAGATTTTTTCCTCATACAATATATCCTGATTATAGTTTCCCCTCTCTTTACTCCTCTTAGTCCCTCCCTACCTATCTGTATCCACTCCATTTCTGTCTCTCATTAGAAAAGAAAAAGCTTCCAAGAGATAACAAACATGGCAAAATAAAATATGGTAAGATAAGACAAAAATCATCACACCCAGGCTGGACAAGGCAACCCAAGAGAAATAAAAGAGCCCCAATAAC